AGGTGCAGGGTCTGCTGGCTGGGTGCTGGTAGGCTTGCACCTGGCACGGGCACCGTAGCCAGCCTGTGCCCCTTTAAGGGCTCCGGGGCTGGGAGGGGGGCAGAAGAGTTTCCCTGGTGTTTCCCAGAGTGGCCACCAGGGACAAGCTGGGGAGGGCTAGCCTCCCACTAGTTCGAATTAAGTGGCTACACAGCCCTTAATTCGAACTAGTTAATTCGAACAAGGTGTTAGTCCTCATAAAATGAGGTTTACCTAGTTCAAATTAAGGCCCCTTTAAGGGCTCCGGGGCTGGGAGGGGGGCAGAAGAGTTTCCCTGGTGTTTCCCAGAGTGGCCACCAGGGACAAGCTGGGGAGGGCTAGCCTCCCACTAGTTCGAATTAAGTGGCTACACAGCCCTTAATTCGAACTAGTTAATTCGAACAAGGTGTTAGTCCTCATAAAATGAGGTTTACCTAGTTCAAATTAAGCGCACCGCTAGTTTGAATTAAGTTCAAACTAGCGGTTTGCATGTGTAGAGCCTATCAAAGTTAATTCAAACTAACGTCTGTTAGTTCAAATTAACTTTGTAGTGTAGACATATCCTATGAGTATAGGTGGTGGTTCTGAACTCCTGGAAAGGGCAGGGTCTCAGGTAGAAGGGGTGGATCGGGGGCAGCCAGCCCTCAGCACTGCCCAAATTGCCCAGCATCCCCCTCCACTGGTCCTCAGAGCCAGATGGAACATGTGGAGCGGGGCTCTTGAGCATGCTGCAAGCATTCTAGTAGCAGTTCTAAAGGGTCCCGAGCTCCAGTTGCTGCCATAGTAATGGCAGCAGGGCTCAGAAGCCCTGGGCCCTTTTAAATCTCCAAATTGTGGAGCATCTTCCTCATTGACATCCATCCTTCCCCCCCATGCCATCAGCAGGCCTGTTACTTACTTATGAAACCTATAAGGTCTTATTTAGGCAGGAATGAATGGTATCACGGTAATTACACCCAACTGCATCAATGCAGTTGTTTTCTGCAATACTTTCTTAAGTATATAATTTCTACTTCCTGAAGTGCCATTTCTAAGAGCCAATAGCCCTGATAAGGCTCAGACAAGATGACCAATGAGCATACGTGTCTGACCCAATTTAAAGCC